CCCCAGCCCTCTGCCCTGACCTCGAGTCGCCCCGCTCAGCCCGCTGCAGGCCTAGGTGAACAGAACCCCAGGCTGGAAGCGGGCTGAGCAGGCTGGTGGCGTAAGATCAGCATTTTAATTTAATTTTAAAGGAAGCTTCTTAAACATTTTGAAAACCTTGTTTACTTTACATACCACAATAGTTTAGTTATATAGTATAGACTTATAGAGAGAGACCTTCTAAAAAACGTTAACATGTATTACCGGCACGCGAAACCTTAAATTAAAGTGAATAAATGAAGACTCGGCACACCACTTCTGAAAGGTTGCCTACCCCTGGTCTATAGATTATTTGAAATCCACAGAGGTGCTACCTGTAGTTCAATTCACACTTTCACAAAGCATTAGTCTCTCAAGTCTAAGTGCCAATTTGGAGCAGCAGAGCTACAGTCTTCTTTTAATAGCGCTTCTTAGCCTTCATTCGGAGGCCCAGCCCTTTGCTTACATGTGTCCTACAGAGGAGATCTCGTTTATAGCACTTTTATGTTAATTACATGTGATATCGAAATGTAAATTCTGTTGCTATGTTTTTATCAAGCACTGGTTGTGGTCAAGCTCTTCAAAACACTGTACCAAGCAAGAGGAAATGGTCTGAAAAGTGCAAATTTGTTATTTAAGATCATGTTCTCAGGGCATGTCTCTCTCAAATTCTGTTACTGTTATTTTCTTTCAGGCCTGACTGGGCAGCAGCAAAACAGCTCCTTGGAGATTCCAATTTCCTCAAAAAACTTTTAGAATATGATAAAGAAAATATAAAGCCTCAAATATTGTTAAAGCTTCAGAAATATATAAATAACCCAGATTTTGTGCCTGAAAAAGTAGAGAAGGTGTCCAGGGCCTGTAGGTCAATGTGCATGTGGGTGAGAGCCATGGATTTATACTCTAGAGTCGTCAAAGAAGTTGAGCCAAAGAGGCAAAAGTTAAATGCTGCACAGGTGCGTGTTTATGTCTCTAATGTCTTTTATTTGTTAGAATGATAACTTTGATGATGTTGTTAATTTTTTTTTTACTGCGGTAACGCCTAGAAGTCCCAGTCATGGATCAGGACCCACTGTGCTGGGCCTTGTACACCGACCAAAAATCAGTTCCTGCTCCAAGGAGCTTCTGATCTAAGTAATAGAATTTTTTTCATCCATAATTGTTCTTTTAACTCTTTGGGCCAAATCCAGCAGAAAGTAGCCTCTTGGGCTGCTGTCCTGCCTTGCTACAGAAGCTACTTCCAGTTCCAAGGATGACGTATCCTCTCCCTACTGTCTGTAAGTGCTGAATTAAGCATCAGATGGGCACTCCATTCGTGGGGCACATGGGGCAATCAGGTATTGTACATGACATTATCGCTGAGTTCTTCCAAGACTGACTAAACACAAGTCATCGGGGGATGAATTTTCAAAGAGCTGTGGCCCAAGGGAGACTTTCCCCAGCCATTGGTCCTGTGTCAATGTTCAGCCAACGTGGTTACAGCAGAGACTAGAGGGTGTGACAGTTTCATATCCTACTCCCTAGAAAAATGGTGGAGGCGCTCGTTATGAAAATGCCATTTTATTAATAGGACAAAAATGTTCTGGTTTAAAGCCACATCTTTCAAAAAGACTCCTTATTCTTGTGTAGGCACCTGAATAAGTGACCTGATTTTCACAAGTCCCCTGTACCTGTCACTTCCATTGACTTCAGCTCTTCTAAAAATCAGGCCACCCGGTTTGAAAGCCTTCACCTAAAGATTTCCTTACGTTCTTAGGCTGAGCTCGATGCTACTATGGCTACCCTTCGCGACAAACAAAAGAAATTAAAGCAGGTGGAGGATCAGATCCAGGCATTACAAGACCAGTATGAAAGAAGCCTGGAAGAAAAAGAGAGCCTTGGTAAGTGATTTCTCTTGAAGTCGTTAAACAGTTAAGTTCGTCTTTTACTTTCATGCCTTCACTATACAGCTAGCTGGACCAGGGGAAACTAGCTAGCCCTGACCCAGACAGTCTCATACTATACACAACACAGTGGTATGGAAATTAATATGCACATCAGTAGGACTCCATTGAAAGGGTCAAACACATGATTTACTAGCACTCTGTCTCCCCAATGCTTCTCTGGTCACACAGTACTGTGGTAAGGAGACACTACATCTGCTGCCAACAGTTAGGCTTGTGACTGTTCCTTCAGGCAGCTTCAACTGGAGCAACCTGATTCCAGTAGCAGGCGATGATAATATCACAGCAGGATGATTGAAAGAGGGTGTGCTGGGAGTTTGGCGAGGTCAAGATATGGGTTCATGGACCATAGTCTGTCCTGAAGTACCCAATCAATAGGCCAAAAAGAAGTTTGCCAGGAAGCCACTGTAGAAGTTAAGGCTAGAGGAAAGGGTATGGGAAGAGGGAGGCTAAAATAGAAAGCAAGGGAAAAGATTATTAGGAAAAATTGACTTTTTAATACTAATCACAGTCCAATCGTTTTATAACTGTTTAGCAAGGACCATGGCACTTACCCAAGCTCGCCTCACTAGAGCTGGAAAGCTTACAGCTGCATTAGGAGATGAACAAGTTCGGTGGGAAGAGAGCATCAGGAATTTTGAAGATGAGATTTCAAACATCATAGGGAATGTGTTCATAGCAGCTGCTTGTGTTGCCTATTATGGGGCTTTTACAGCACTTTATAGGCAACTGGTGAGTAAAAATAATCTCCCTTTTCTTTTTTTCCTCCATAATGTGGTGCTTGTGAAAGGTACCAAACTGGCATCACTGTAGAATTGCTCTAGCTTCTGAACAGGTACAATATGGACAGTGTCAGTCTAAGCATTCCCCCACAACTGCATTAAGGATCCTCAGCCTTGCTGTCCAGAGTTCAGTTTAAATACATATTCAGCCATTAGTGACAATTGTGGAGGGTGTAGGATTATTATTAGTACAAGACAAGGACTCCTGTCTATTCTGAAATGAATTAAAGACACTTATTTGTCGCCTCCTAAGCAATCAAACAGCCATCCAATGATGATAACTTTTAATTACTACCAACTAGTGTCCAACAGGCTATTGTTACATTCTTCTTCGAGTGATTGCTCATGTGTATTCCACTATAGGTGTGCGTGCTCACCACGTGCACCGGTGCCGGAAGTTTTTCCCTTAGCAGTATCCGTAGTGGGGGAGCACCACTGCAACCCCTGGAGTGGCACCGACATATCGCGCCATAAAGGGGACTGCATGCTCCCCCCACTCTCAGTTCCTTCTTGCCGCCAGTGAAGGTAGTCGGAACTTGCTCCAGCCTTGGCTGCAGCGTTATAGTCTTAGTGGTATCTAGTTTACTGAACTGTTTCTTTGCTGAACTTTTCTTCTGTTAGTGCCTGGCTCGGGGCATGCCCCGTTGCCCAGGCTTCAAGTCATGCGACTCTTGTCGCAATTCTATGCCTAGAAGCTATCCACACTCTGTGTCTTTGCTGTCTGGGCGAGTCTCACATTAGTGAGAAGTGTAAGATCTGCCGCTCCTTCAAGCCGCGAACGAAGAAGGAGCGTGAGATCCGACTCCGAGCACTCTTAATAGAGTCGGCATTGGCCCCGGCACCGGCGCATTGAGCCGGCACCGCGCCGGGATCCGCGTCGTCGGCACACAGTGAAGGGCCTCCCGAGCGCCGCTCTGAATCTGCTCCTGGTACCGCGTCCTCGGTGCGCAGTGAGGCACCTTCGACGTCTCGGCACCGTTCCCCAGCTAAGAGGACGGGGAAATCGCAGAGGCACCGAGAAAAGACTAGGGGTGAGGCTAGACCTGAGTTGGGCAGCCTATGATCCCCATCAGGACAGAGACCTCCGACTCGCGCTGAGTGGAGTAATCCTGTCCCGTCCGCGCGAGCCTCTCCAGAGGTGTGCATGCTCTCGATGCCAGAGGCAGCTCAGGCCGCGTGTGAGATATTGACGCTTCCGGTGCCGGCAGCGCCGCAGCACTCGGGCCCCCGGTCTCACAGGAAGCTGTCCTTGATTGCCCACCAGCCTTCCCCGAAGGAGTCGGAGATTGAAGCACCTTCCCGGGTTGAGGCACCTAGCAGGGCTTCACGACGCACATTGACCCTGCGTCATGACTCTGCCATGAGCGTTTCCCATTCGTCGGGTCCTGAGCGCTGTTGTGCCGGAAGAAAGAGGCGACACCATCCCTCTTCTAGTGACTCCGAGAGGAATAGGTCGCGACGCCGTCGGCACCGACGCTCCCACTCCAGGACCCGGCACTGTAGAGGTCAGGCTCGCAGCGCATCCCCGCATTCCCCGGCACCGAGGCACCGGGCCCACAGGTGCCGCGGACAGTCCAGACGCAGCTCCTCGAACGTTTACATCTCGTCCTCCTCCAGGTCGAAGTCCCGGAACCGTCACGATCGGGACCGTTCCAGCCGTTCTTACGGCACTGTTCGCTCTTCCCGAACCTCGGTGTCAACGTGCAGTCGTCTATCCCGGGGCCGACCCGTGCCGCCGGACCAACCTGCACCTCCAGCGCCCAACGTGCCTCTACTCCAGGCTGTGCCATGGCAGGGTCAGTGGTGTCAGCTAGCGCCGTGGCCTCAGGATCCGGCGCACCTCGGTCCTCACTCCGTGGCGGGAGCTTCCCAGGGCCGCCCCGCGTCGCCGCGGTACCGGGATCAAGCTGTGGGTGCCGATCCCCCGACGCCGGCTCCGGCACCGGACCCCAAAGTAGAGCCCACGGTGCCGCTTGCCGTTGACGGTGCTGTACCTTCCACCTCGACGGCGCAGGGCGATTCGGTTGCGGTACCGCCTCCCTCTTCGCAAGAGGACTTTAAGGCCCATCAAGAGCTGCTTCGGAGGGTGGCAGCCAACCTCGAGCTCCGGGCCAAGGAGATGGAAGAGCCCTCTGACACACTTTTTAATGTCCTGGCCTCCTCGGTCCCGGGGCATGTGGCGCTCCCGTTTCATCAAGGAGTCTGTAGGGCTGCTACGTGGTCCTCTGTCCACACTTTCTCATCGCACTATGCGATCATCTTCCAATCACGGGATGACGCTGGGTTTGGTAGAGCGGTGCTCCGCCCGGGAAACCTTGACATTTCATACTTACACTCGTACCCGCCTCCATCAGGGATAGCTTGGAGTCACCTATAGTGGAATACGCATGAGTAATCACTCGAAGAAGAAAGGACAGTGACCTGTTCCGTAACTGGCGTTCTTCAAGATGTGTTGCTCAGGTGTAATCCACGTCCCACCCTCCTTCCCCACTGTCGGAGTTGTCTGGCAAGAAGGAACTGAGGGTGGGGGAGCACGCAGTCCCCTTTATGGCGCAATATGTCGGCGCCACTCCAGAGGTCGCAGCGGTGCTCCCCCACTACGGATACTGCTGAGGGAAAAACTTCCTGTACCGATGCATGTGGCGAGCACGCACACCTATAGTGGAATACACCTAAGCAACACATCTCGAAGAACGCCAGTTACGGAACAGATAACTGTCCTATTCCCATGAAGTAATATAATCTCCTATGAATCTCTTTTTACAATTAATATCTCTCTGTCTCAGCTGATAGATTGCTGGATCAAGAAATGTCAAAATCTAGAGATTCCTATCAGTCCAGACTTCAGTCTTATAAACATTTTGGGAGATCCCTATGAAATTCGCCAGTGGAACACAGATGGGTTACCACGTGACTATGTGTCTACCGAGAATGGGATTCTTGTGACTCGAGGGCGACGCTGGCCACTGATGATTGACCCCCAGGATCAGGTGAGCACTGATTGTAAACTGTACTGATGCAGCTCCTTTTCCAAAAATTCAACTCCTCCGTAAGTTTTTGTACCAGACAGTTCTAACACTTGACACCTTTTTCTTTGTTGGCTTGGGGCCAGATCCTCAACTCATGCAAATCAACATTCTTCAGTAGAGCTATAGTGACTAACACCAGCTGAGCATCTGGTCCATACATTTTCAATATGAGATCTGTGATTAAAAATAAAAAACACGATAGTGTTTCAGGTATTGCATGGACTCTAATTTAACATTCTCATTCCAATCAAAATTGGAATAGGTTTAAAATAATTAATAGAGTACTATGAATCTTTACCAAGAGGTTTCTAACTATAAATAACATGGAAATGATTGTGCAAAATGTGTGCTATTAAAACCCCTCCACAATACGAAAACTATAAACTGTATTGCCAACAGAGGAAAAACAGGATTGTGTCCAGTTTTCATTAAAGGCCCAGGGATGAGTCTCAAAGATGGTCAAAGCTATGAAAGGAGTTTCATAAAATGAAAGACTGTGAAGACTATTATTATTTAACCTAAAAAGGAGGAAAGAAAAAACTGCATATACCTGCCTCACAACTGGTGTTTATTTTGTGCTATAACTTTTTCACTACATATTTTTGTGGTTTTCTGAATCCCCTTAATTGACCTAGTGCTAAACAACCACTGAACCACAGCCAATTTTGTTAGGACAATTCCCTGCATTGTTCACTCCTTTTCCCTAACTTGTGATTATTGGAAGCGGTAGGTGAGCACAATGAAATAATTTAGAATGAAAAACCTTTTTCAATTTAATTTTTACATTTAAAACATTACAAGTATAAATCTATTTTAGGGTCCAATCGTGTCGGTGTGGATATTCCTTCCTTCTTCACTCAACCCTGCAGCACCACCCTTTCCTCTTCCCTAGACATCATACAGGTCTCTCTTCATGGCCTGGTGTCCTTGTTGGAGGAGAGGGGCTGCCGACTGAATGGACCAGGTCGTATGGGTGGGTCAGGTGAGCACAGGGATTGCTCCTTCCTAGTGCACAGCTCATCCTAAAGGGGATGAATGGGAGGCCAATCCCGCCTCTCCACACCAGCCTTGGGTGCAGCAGGAAGAGTAATCTACCCCACACAGTGTGTGTAATCTCACTGGAAGCTGCCCTCTGAGATATAGTCCCTCATAGAGCTTCTCTTGGTGTGGTGCTGCCTCACACTACTCCCCAAAATGATTCTATGCCTTGAATGGCACAATCTGGACCTATAAAGGCCAATAAAATACAAGCAGTACCAGCACAGTGGAATATCACACCGTGCAGTGTAAAAGCCTTAGATATTACAAATACAAGCAAAAACCTTATTTTCTGGTGATGCGTCTCAGGAGTAAAGAGTTAGTGCATTTAATTTACTTTTCCTGATCAAAGCAGTGGTCTTAAGAATTGCACTTCTGAATATTGAGGCAAACGTGCTAATTAACCTTCTGGTCAAATGTGACACTTAGCCAACCTTAGTGATTACTCTCTTGTTTCCTACATAGGCAAATCGGTGGATAAGAAACAAAGAAATGAAATCTGGTTTAAAGATAATTAAGCTTACAGATGCTGGTTTCCTGCGTACTCTTGAGAATGCTATTAGATTGGGTTTACCTGTTCTTCTAGAAGAGGTATGTATCTTTTATCCATAAACTTAAATTATTATCATTGTATTTCTATCTCTTTTAATATGTTGGAATTAGTAGGAACATCGTAATCAAAATTTTCGTCTATGAACTTCAGTTTTTTCTGGCCACAAAATCCCAGAACCACTGCATAACATTTTCTACATTTTAGCTATATTATTTTTTCCAGAGAAATGTTAGCTAAAAATAACTGTTCAGTAAATATGGCTATTCAAAAAGCAAACCAAAAGCTCTCTCTAATTCACAAAAAAACTCCAGGAGAAATTCATCGTATGAGACAATAATCTAAAATATACATTATAGAGTCACAGGTTTTTGCTTTGTTTTTTTTCTTGAGAAACCTGCTTCTCATTTGGGTGGTATTTTGCCAGAGGAGATTTTTTAATCAGACAATATGTTTTTGAAACATTGAAAAAAGTGTTCTTACTTTCTGAAAAATCTACTAACGCTTTTTGTAATTTCGTATCTCTAAATGGCTTGGTGTACAAACATCACATCAATGTTATTTGTTAGTCCTGGAAGAGAGAGAGGGCCAGATTCTCTGTCCTATTGTGCTCTTGCAGTGCAAAGCAGTCTTAAATTTGGCCTAAGAGAAATGGTCTGAAGTAAATAGGATGAAATTCAATAAGAACAAATGCAAAGTACTCCACTTAGGAAGGAACAATCAGTAGCACACATTCAAAATGGGAAATGACTACCTAGGAAGGAGTACTGCGGAAAGGAATCTGGGGGTCATAGTGGACCACAAGCTAAATATGAGTCAACAGTGTAACGCTGTTGCAAAAAAAAGCAAACATCATTCTGGGATGTATTAGCAGGAGTGTTCTAAGCAAGACACGAGAAGTAATTCTTCCGCTCTACTCCGTGCTGATTAGGCCTCAACTGGAGTATTGTGTCCAGTTCTGGGCGCCACATTTCAGGAAGGATGTGGAGAAATTGGAGAAAGTCCAGAGAAGAGCAACGAAAATGATTAAAGGTCTAGAAAACATGACCTATGAGGGAAGACTGAAAAAAATGGGTTTGTTTAGTCTGGAAAAGAGAAGACTGAGAGGGGACATAACAGTTTTCAAATACATAAAAGGTTGTTACAAGGAGGAGGGAGAAAAATTATTTTTCTTAACCTCTGGTGATAGGACAAGAAGCAATGGGCTTAAATTGCAGCAAGGGAGGTTTAGTTTGTACATTAGGAAAAACTTCCTAACTGTCAGGATGGTTAAGCACTGGAATAAATTGCCTAGGGAGGTTGTGGAATTTCCATCATTGGGGATTTTTAAGAGCAGGTTGGACAAACCCCTGTCAGGGATGGTCTAGATAATACTTAGCCATGAGGCAGGGGACTGGACTAGATGACCTCTCAAGGTCCCTTCCAGTCCTATGATTCTATCATTCTAAGTGGCCAAATGGGGATTCCCCTGGCAGAGGGGAATTCCTGAGGTCGCTTTAATATATGTTGGGGGTGAGCATGGTAGTTCCTGGGATCATGGGACTCCCAGAGGTGATGTAAAGTTACTGTTTCTCACAACTCCTTCCTCTAGGGTCCTGTGGTTGGTGTAGCTGAGCTAGGCTTGAGGATTATGGATGTAGTACAAGTCTGTTATTTATTAGGCTAAATGCAAATTTTTTAAGTCATTTCCTATGGAAATTCGAATCTTTGAGGGTTTTAAGGAGAAATTTGAAGGAGGATAAATGAGGTAGCTCTATGGATATTTAAGGGGAGCTCCTCCCAAGGCATCATGAGAGAAAGCGTGAAGGTGCTTTTTTTAGAATTTAACAAGTGGGCAATGGAGGCTGGTAACATGAGGCGATCAGAGGTGAGAGTCGACATCTTGATAGAGAATGAGTGATAAGTTGGGGGGATAGGCTGTAAAGGCCCTCGAAAGTGAAGACAAGCAGCTTGTGTATGATGCGATAGAGAAAGAGAAGCCAGTGGAGGAATACAAAGAGTGGGGTGACATAATCAAAGTGACATGCTAGAAAAATGATCGTTGCAGCATCCTTCTGAATAGATATGAGCAGGACAAGATTGCATTTGTCAAGGCCAAAGAAAAGGATGTTGCAGTAATCAAGATGTGAGATGATGAGAGCCTGGATGAGGGTCTTAGTTGTATGGATGGATAGGAAAGGCCATATCTTAGAGATGTTATGCAGAAAGAATCTGAAAGATTGAGATAGAACCTGTATGTGCAGACCTAGAGACAGGACCAATTTGAAGATGGCAGCCACGTTATGGGCCTGAGTGACAGGCAGGATGGTGTTGCCCACAGTTAACAAAAAAGGAGATAGTGCAGTGGGCATGTGGAGAAAGATTCAGAACTCTGTTTTAGCCATGTTGGGCTTGACCTGATGGTTAGACATCCATGAGATGTCAGAAACATACTTCTTCGAGTGATGGTCCCTATGTGCATGGATACGTGTGTACACCATGCACCTGAGTTTGTAATTTTTTAGTAAGCAGTGTCCGTTGGTCCACACGTGCGCCTTAACTGTCCTCATGCTCCGAACAGAGTGTGTAAGGGATGGTGCGGACCAACACCTCTCCCATTCTTTCTTATCACCGCATGGTCTGAGTCGGAGTTCATACAGGTGGTCATATGGCACAAGGCATCTGGACCCTTTGAGAGTCCAGAATGCATATCAATTTACTAGATCTCAGGATAGTCCAAGTCTGTAATGCATTCCTTCCACTCATCCAATCCCGACATGTTCAAATAATGTCAACATAATAAGGACAACATAACAACTATCTTATATATAAACAAGTAGTGGGGAATGAGATCCCTTCCTTTTTGTATAGTGTCAGTTAACATCTGGAATTGGTGCAACCACCATCACATAACCCTTTCAGCAGCATGTTTACTAGGGGTTCAGAACTCCGTAGTGGACAGTCTCAGCAGAGATTTTTCCATGGACCACAAATGGGAGATTCACAATTCAGTTCTCAACAAGGTCTTCACCCAATGGGCAATGCTGTCCGGGGACCTTTTTGCCTCACATGTGAACAAGAAACTTCCTCTATCCTGCCTAGGCAAGGGCTCAAAGGGAGATACACTCCAGCTATCACAGAAGGATCACCTGAGTTATGCCTTCCCTCCCATTCCATTAATACTACAGGCCCCATGGAAAATCCATTAAGACAGAGCTCAAGTCATCCTCATTGTGCCTGACTGGCCAAGACAGTTATTGTTTACAGATCTACTGAAGCTCTCAGCTCAGCTGCCCATAAACGTCTGCCCATTTCTGGACCTTCTAACACAACACCAGGGCACTTTCAAGCACCCCAATCAGGAACCACTGTAGCCTGGTATTTGGATGGTCACTGGATGTAAGAGCACTTGTGTTCCAGAGTGATGCAATCCATCCTTAATCAAAGTAGGAAAGACTCTACTAGGATATGTTCTTATTCAGCTAAAAGAAGGTGTTTCTCCTCTTGTACTCAACAATACATTATCTCCAGAATCTGCTGGGTTCCCTGCTATCCTGGAATATTTACCCGTAAGTCTTTGGATATCTCATTTAGTTCTCTTCAGGTTCATTTAGCAGCAATCAGTGCTTTTCATCCTCCTGTTGATAACCATATGATCTTCATTCACCCTGTCAAACTAGATTTTTGAAGGGGCTTCTTTGACCCTTTCCACCACTGGTGAAGTTCGCACCCAGTGGGACCTCAATTTTGTTTTTTCATCTCTCAGCAGACCTCTCTTTGAACCTCGAGCCCATCTGACTATGAAAGTGGCCTTTCTAATCATTGTAACATTAGTTAGACAAGTCAACTAGCTGAAAGCATGCATGGTGGACCCGAGTTTCATAAGAGTCAAACCATCCACTTACTGGTATTTTTTCCAAAACCACATGCCTCTCAGATGAAGAAAGGAGACTGCATTCTCTGGATGTCTGAAGGGCACTGGCCACTTGATCTCTATTTCATCCTTCTGTGAAAGTGGCCTTCGCAGTGGCAATAACATCAGCCAGGATAGCTGTTGAATTACAGGCATTGTTAGCCAAACCACCTTATTATACCGTCTTTCATAAGGATAATGTTTCTCTGAAATCTCACCCTAAGTTTTTACCAAAGGTGGTTCCAGAACTTCAATTAAATCTATTCACATTGCTGTTGTTTTCCCTAAGCCACATGCAGAGCATGTAAAGCAGAGCAAAAGCTGCATTCATTGGATGTAAGCAGAGTTCTTTCATTCTATCTTGACAGAACTGCACACTTCAGAAAGTCTCCTAAACTATTTGTAGCACATAGAGGAAAGGACCAAAGGTGAAGCTGTCTCAGAGCAAACGATCTTTAATTGGATTTCCACATGTATCAAACTTTGTTATCAGGTGACTGGAAAGACTCTATCTGTCAAAATAATGGTTCATTTGATGAGAGCTTGGTCCACTGTGATGGCCGCTCTCAGGACATTTGTAAGGCAGCAGCCTGGTCCTCCATCCACACATTTACTCAGCAGTACGCAATTGTACAGGCTTTCAGAGACAATGCAAAATTTGGCAGACTTGTGCTGCAATCACTGTTCAACAACTCCTGGTACCCACCTTCAACAAGGGTCACTGCTTGTTGAGGGGGGTGGGGGAGAGTTCATCAGCAATAAAATATATGTATACAGCTCATCATTAGAAGTAGAGATGGTTACTTGCCTGCACAGTAACTGATGTTCTTCCAGATGTGTTGTCTGTATACATACTCTATGACCCAACCCCCACCCCCGCTACTCAGTCTTTGACATTGGGCTCTGTAGGCCGCAAAAGAACTGGTTTGTGGTTGAGGCAGCCCCTCCCTTTAAGCCCTCAGTTGCTGGTGTGAGGATGTGCAGTGGATGTGCGCACACCAACAGTGGAATGTGTATACAGTGTCCACCTCTCGAAGAACACCATTTACTATATAAATAAGTAACCATTTCTTCCCATAACATCTGCGTGATGAATTTCTGAACTGGCAACACTTTCAGTGCAACACCCTATTTTCTAAGAGAAGATTGTAATTTATATCCTCTGTCATTCTGTAGAAAGAAGTCCCTCAGCATCATACCTTCTGTCTGTTCATGGCCAAAGCACAAAACAAAAGCTTTAGCCCAGTCGGGATGTGTGTTTAGAAGCTCATACACACAAAGTATGATAAAGCACTCAGAAAATCACCTGTTTTCTTTCATTCACGATGTGTATGAGCCAGGGTCTCAAAATAGTCTCTGGATAGATAGTTAAAAGGTTTGTCAGGAAGGCATATACAGCTTCTGTTAAACCAGATATTTTTTTCCTATTCCATGTTATGCTCTGGTTCAACCAGAAGTTATTGGGTTAGATGCAGGCATTATTGGGTGAAATTCTATGGCCTGTGTTAGGCATAGTCAGACTAGATGATCACAGTGATCCCTTCTGGTCTTAAAATCATTGAATATCTAGCAGCCAGGTTTTGGGCAAAGGTCAATAGTAAACTCCGAAGAAACTTGCAAAGCCACAACGTGGGTATAACTCCTTTGTCTTTCATAAAGCACTGTAAGATAGCTCTTCAGGTGTTTGATGCATTTCTCCCCACCCCCCAAAAAGCCTCCATTTCATAGCACCTGAGCATGGATTATTTATCTTTATATTCATCTTTTTCTTTCCCTCCCTCTGAGAATCTTACTACTTGCCACATCCCTGAGTAAAGGGTCAGTGTACATGTTAGGATGCAGGATGGGAAAATTGTTACCTTTTTAAAATTATTTTCCTTGATTAACATCTTCACTAGTCTGTCACTCACCAAAAAAATACATACATAACTGAATGGCATGTTTGCTCTGGGTGCATGTTTCAAAATTCATTCAGACCTAAGTGAAGTTGAAGTTAGAATTTTACTGACATTAACCTTGTTTGAGAAATTATTTATATGGATTTGGGAGTACATGACGAGGGGCCCGGCCAAGTGAATAGGTTGCTAGGCAATGAGCTCAGCTGCCTAAGGTGCCACTGCAGAGGGGTTAGTACTGAATAAAGGACTAGTGGAGATATTAATAACAGAAAGGAAATGATCATAGAATACATTTTCCATTCTGCCTACCCAGAGTTGATTATGCCCTAGGTAGGAACTCAGTGAGTTTAAACTCAGAACTTTTTGAGTAAAATATCCCTCCCTTGAGCGTAAGATTTTATTGTGCTTGAATAATTCAATACTGAGTTAATTTTTAAACCTCAGACTTGCTACTAGGCCTGACTCAAACACCCTTTCCCCCCCCTTTCACAAGCACTGAAATCACCCATGACAAAGTGTCTGTGGCTATAGCCCATGTATCATGACAGTGGTGTCACAGAACTGTAGTTTATTTAGCAGGAATAACTGTCCAATTTGTGAGTTACCCAACAATTTCTTTTAAAGTGTAAGCAGCACATATAGTTAATTGTTCACGGATATATTAAGCCTCAGTTATAATATTTTCATTTGGCCCACAGACAGATATTTCTTGAATCCCATAGGCATGTCAGAGAAGCTATTCCTAGTTCCTCTGGCCCCAAGCTGTGACTTTAAGCAGTCAGTACACATGGACTCGAGACCAAGGTTCTGATTTGAGTAGCCGTCAGGATCAGTAACTGCAGGAAAGAAAAAGATAGGCATAAGTGAATTTCCACCAATGTGTCGTATGTTTGTCAGTTTTCAATACCAGAGGTAAAAATTCAATGCTGTATTCATTGGCATGATATATATGGCACTGGGATCTGATGATTCACAACTCCCTCGAAATTCAAATATATTTCTTTATTTTGATTGATTTTCTTACTTTTTATAAATGTGCCTCTTAAAAATCTGTATGCTCGTTTAAAAAAAAAAGAATCAGCAACACCATAATATGTCCTGTAGCTAATGGATAATAGAAAACATGGCTTTGTTTGCATATTAACAAATGTAAACAAAAAGTCCAAGAATTCCCAAGACACAATCATTCCTTTCAGAAAAGTGCAAGGTGAACACATATGCCCTGCACCTTGCCCTGAAAGTCAGCAGATCTGGAAGTGACAAAGGCATGAATAAATGTACTGAGAGCCATGTCCAAAAAAAAAGTCTCATTCTTCTCAATGAGCATACATGAAAAAAGCACTCTTGCCCATCCCTGCTATCTGATCATCCAGAAACAAACACGGATCCAATGGAACCCCCATATCTTCTTGTCAACTAAGAAAAAAATAGTCATATCCTCTAAACTAAGGGACAGATGTTATCCTTGCATTTTCCTGTGCCTGAATGCTATATGTATAGTCCTCAGCAAAGAATTTGATTAAGTGTGCTTAACTACTTTGCTAAATAGAATTGATGTAAGCACATGTTGAAGTCTTCTGTTGAATTAGGACCATAATTCTGCCCAGTTTACTGTTTCTGGTTCCCATAGTATAATGATTTTCTGTCTTGACTGTAACCAGTCAGAGATACAGGAAGAATGGGGCATCTGGGCCCATAACACAGATAATAAAGAGCAGTGAGAGTGGGCAAGAGAATCCCGTTATTGGACACAACACTGTCAGGTGCTGAGCACTCTCCAGCAAAACACTTAAAGCACATGCTTAAAGTTAAACTTAAGTGTAATACAGGATTGGGCTAGAGTGCTCAGCATTCTCCAGGATTGAGCCCGTTGAGTCTTAGGACGTGGGGGTGTATGGGTCCTTCCCATATTTTGATCACGTTTTGGAAATAACATTTTCATTACCATTCTGTTTCTAAAGGGACATGACTATTTTTTAAATGTCTCGTGCTTTTTTTTTTTTTTTGCTAATGTACCATAATGAAACGTGGTTGAACATATGGAAATTATGTACAGTGAGTTTGGAATTTTATGACCAGAAAAAAAGTTAGGCCCAAATCCAGCAAAGACCTTCGCATGTACATAACTTTATGTACCCGAGTAGCCCATTGACTTCAGTGTGACTATTCACGTGCATGAAGTTATGCATGTGTTTACATCGTTGTAGGATCAGGGCCTAGTTTTGTACTTTCAGTTCTCATGTAAGTAAAGAATATTTTCTTCTCTCTCTGTGTTTGCTTTAACACTGTCTAAATTCTGTTACATCACTGATTTGTGCTCTGAGAGAGTTCTGCAGTAAAACATGTAGGCTTGCTCCTGTTTAAAAAACAATGCATAATTTGGAGTGTATTTAATATCCATGGGATTTGAGCACATAACTCTGTTAGCTCCTTTGAAAATCCAGCCACATCCTATAACAAAAATTAGAAAAGCAGAGAATAATAAGTGAACAGAAGAATATCATTGGGACCATCTTTTTGTTCTGTGTTTGTTCAACACCTATCACAATGGAGTCCTGGTTCATGACTATGCTCCTAGCCACTACAAAAACAACGAGGCGTCCTTGTGGCACCTTAGAGACCAACACATTTATTTAGCCAATACAGTAATACAAATCATAAATAATAATAATTATTCTTCTCCTTGCATAAAGTGGAGAGTGTTTAATTTAATTTTGCATTTTAGTAATGAAGTATTTCAGTTACCAGCTACATGTAGAAAATACCTTAATCTGGTTTCTTTTTCTAAAGCTGAAGGAAATCTTGGACCCTGCACTGGAGCCTGTTCTTTTGAAGCAGACCTTTGTTTCTGGTGGAAGAATGCTTATTCGCCTTGGAGATTCTGACATTGATTATGACAGAAACTTTAGGTTCTACATGACAACTAAACTACCAAATCCACACTACCTTCCAGAGGTATGATGCAGCATTCTAAATTAATGGCATACAAATCATAATCAATATTACTAGAAGGACATTATCAACTTCTGTTGGCCCACATCATTACAGACCTTCCCATGGTATCTTTTATAATTAAAGTTTTAAAACAGGTGAACAGAAAAAAACCCATGTCCTTTCATTCCATGAGTGAATGTAGCACAGTAGAGTCCAACATGGTCATGCTAGTGTTTGTGAAAACGTTCATGGACTTATCGACCGTTCTGACGAAGAGAGATTTGCTCCTGCTGCACAGCATCACCAGGGTTGGGTCATGCCTCAGGGCTCAACCATTTTGTTGTGTCCCATATTGGAGGTTCAGAATACAGGGCCACTGGAATTGTTGGAATCCTGTATGTGGGATCTTCCAGAAGATCCTGCCACCTGGAGGGGAGAGCTCTGTCACATGCTTCTCAAATATTAACAACATGACAGCATGACTTCCAGTGAAGACCCTCATTCACTAATGGACAAGCTGTGTGGCCTATTTGAAGGACCTGTGGAGGGTACTCCTAATGGGCTTTCTTAGGAGATCCTACTGTCTGAAAAGGGATTGTTTCATTAGTGGTTCCTCTTAAAATCCGCAACTAGTGAGATCTTCCACAATCAACTCCCACCCAAAAACCCCACTGCAAAAAGGGTAGCACAGCTAGTAGGATTTCCTAGAAAATTTACAGATGTCTATCCCTTTCTAGACAGCTATGGGATCTAGCCAGATGCTGGATGGTGTAGGACTGGGTAACTGTGATGTAATTGCTTTGATTAAGGAGGTACTTGCAGGCAACTGATACACATTTTATTTCATAATTCTGTTACTTTATTTTGAGGTTCATATGGTCCTGTATTTTGTATTTATATGCTGTATCATCCAGTTTCCACACATAATATCGGCTGTTACTTTATTTTGAAAGCATTTTGAAAATCAAGCAATCTGTTGAAGTGCCTAACAGTAGAAACTCAGGTTTGAAAAGATGCACTGTCAGCTACATGGGCCAGGGTATAAGGAGACCTCCATTCGGATCCTGGTTCTGATGTTGACTTGGAGTGTGACAGTAACCAAGTCACCTAAGCCCTCTGTGTCTCAGTTAATTTGACAGTCACAGCAAATTAAAGATGCCCCAATAGGCCTCATGGTCTAAAGGACTAAGAACTGGGGTGGAAGCCAGGAATTTAGGAGTTCGTTCTATTCCAAAGTGTAGGCAACTGGTCATAATCATTCTTTGTTCTTCTGTAGCACTTTAAAGGCATGTTTTATTTATGTTCACAGCCCCCCAGGAGACAGACAACTGAATTCCTTTTCTTACTACTCTAGCTTTTAAGTCATTGCAGTAGGCTGACTTTCAGAATAGCTGAGCACCACAACATCAATTGAAGTCAATCGGAAATGTTGGTGCTCAGCACTTCTCCAAATCCAGCCCTGCATGTTTAGACCAGCTTGTGTGATTAGGCACTTAACTCTTGTCTGTATTTAAACAGCCACACACACCTGCATGCCACATCCTTCTTTAAGATCACGGCTTAAAAGTGATCACTGTTTCTTACTGTGCATGCCCCAGGCTACTTTTCAAATATTCAAGTCTTTTGTACTTTATAGCTATATTTTCTCAAACTTGCCATCCCTTATACTAGTCATTGCAGACTGGTTTCATGTGAAATTCCAAGTTTATAGCTAGGGCCTGTCACGGTGTGCACAGCCGGCCCCTCTTCTGAAGGCCCAGTTGCCTTCCCAAATAAGTCTAGGGAGACATCAGCTTTGTGCAACACCCATGTCCTTTATTCTTTAAGCATTTTCCCACCACCAGTGTCCAACTATATACAATCTTTACAGGTTTCTTGTCTATTGCAGGCTGGGTCAGTAACCAGCTAGAGGACTTCCACTTCCCTTTCTGACTGACCTCTCTCTCTGGCTGTCTCGCTCCTTCTGACTCCTTCCCAGCCTTTGTAGCTCCTGACCTATCAGGCTGGCAGGTGCTGCCAATTGCCAGGCGGACATAAGGCTTTTCATCCAGCCCCAATCGATCCCCTTTGATTGGGGCTGGCATGGCAGGGGCTGATTAGGTGTGTTTGCAGTAGCACCCTGCCACAAGACCCTACTAAATTCATGGTCCATTTTGGTCAATTTCACGGTGATAGGATTTAAAAAATCATAAATGTCATGATTTCAGCTATTTTTCATGGCTGTGAATTTGGTAGGGCCCTATTTATAGTTTCAGCCTTTTTTGAGCTATGCCATTGGAAATGATTACAAGAACAGTTATTGTGCAAAGTGAAAAACATACTTTTATTTCATCCTCTCATCCCTCCAAAAGTTTGATCAAACTCCCAAAAAATCACTTTTGGACATAAACCAACCATGTGAAATTTCAGCTCAAATGGAAATTTTTGAGTAAGTTGTGAACAGCTGTAAATTGAAGTTTAGATTGGAAAAGCCTTCTCAGCCATAACTATATCTTCACTGTGGGTGCCATTATTATTCTTAACTAAACTCCTTATTTTATTGTATTAACCTACATAGAAATAATTTTTGTCATTTGTTGTGTTTATTCTACAGGTGTGTATTAAAGTTACTATAATCAATTTCACTGTAACCAGATCTGGCCTGGAGGATCAGCTGCTAAGGTTTATAACTTTTATTCCCATTATTTATTTCACAGCAGTTGCTTTTAAATGTTTAAGGTGACACCCGGATAAAATGAACAAGGAAAACAATAAAGAAAATGTTTTTCCACATATTTATATAAAGTACCAAGTCACAATCACCAATAACTTAAGGACAACCTATTTCTTGCCTTAGTATGCATGTTTTCTAAAGCGTCTTATGCTGGGTTAGGGTATATCTAATTCTTTAAGTATTGTAGTAGGAATCATCTATTTGTAAAGTATTGTAATAGGAATCAGCTATTTGTAACTCAGGATACATAATTACTTACATTTTTCTAATACTGTGTCTAATAGGCTAGATTTAAAAGTCATGACCCACTATTTGACTTTAGGGGGAGCTGAATCAAGCCCATATAATGAGCGTTGAACATGCAGATGTGACATATGTGATATTGTTCGTATTAATACCAAATGACAATATCCTAAATTTACTCTGGGTTATAGGACAAGATCAGACCTGCATTGATTTTAAAGTGAGAAATATACCCAGAACATGGGGTTCTTCTTTGAGTGGGTGAAGACATGTATTACATTCATGTGTTCATGTCCAGTGCACTGAAGCCAGAGAACTTTGCTTAGCAGTACCCATTGGAGCAGCGCTCATGCCCTCTGTCCCTTGTAGCCCCTTCCCAAGCTATATAAGGGTGATGCTGCCCTGACCCCTGTCAGTTCCTTCTCTCCGCCTGTGGCTTGAGTCAGAGTGGTGTCTCACTTCATGTTCTTCATCACTTTGTGTTGGGTACTGATACCCACTTCAGTACCTCGCGTGTGTGTGTGATACCTCTACTCTAGATCACCTCTACTCAAAATGCCTTTGCGTGTACCATCATCGGTGCCAGTTAGGCCGGTGTGTTGGACTGCAGATGATTCAGGCTGTTTATTGGCTCCCCCTAGAGTAGCTCCTCCATTACTGACAGACAGCTTGGAAGGAACTTCAGGATCGAGTGCAGAAATGCCTTCCTCTCCTTTGCCTTTGCAGTACCACTCAGAGACTTTCAAGACCTCCTGGGATCACCATTGGGTACTGGGATTGGTTCCACTCCTGCAGTAGGGACAAAGCTTCCAGGCCTATCTCCTACTCGTCACTAATGTTGTATCCCTATCCACTGTAGCCTCCTAGGAATCCGTGGGTGGTTCTTCGTTCAGCGAGGTCCTGATCGTCGACTCAGTCCAGGACTAGATCACTTGTTCCTCAGATGGTCTCTCCAGGTGAGCCACCTGTGCGACAGCCACAGACTAAGGGGGCTTCCTCTGACCTGGTGCAACCTGATCCGTTGATTCAGTCAAATGTATTACTACAAGAGATTCCAGTAGTTCCACTTCCCTCTTCTACATCTTCACCAGATGATGCTACGTGCCTAAATCCGCTGTACTGGAGGATTTTAAATCTTATCAAGCGCTCCTGAGATTAACGGCATCGTCATTGGGTATTCAGGCTGAGTTTGTTCAGAAGAACGCCCATAAGTTAGTGGATATTCTTCAATCCTCAGCTCCTGAGAGAGTCACTCTTCCTCTGAATGAAGTGATATTGGAGCTTGCCGTATCTCTGTGTAGTACCTCAGCATCTATAACACCCATGGCTAAGCATACTAATAAGAGATATTGTGTTTCAAGGTTTCAAGTATTTTTTCTCTCATCCACCCTCTAATTCCCTGGTTGTGACTGAGGCAAATGAGAGGGTACGGGAGTGGAGATATAAATTTACACCTAAAGACAAAGAGTCTAAAAGGTTAGATTTGATGGGGAGAAAAGTATTTTCAACCTCCTTATTGCAAATATGAATTGCCAACCAGCAAGCGTGATTGTCTAAATATGACTTTGCAAATTGGGATGCCAAGTTACCAGAATTCTTCATGGAAGAGTTTAAGGCATTTATTGCAGAGGGCTATTTGGTGGCCAAGACGTCTTCACAGTCAGCACTGGATGTAGCAGATATTCCATGCAGATATGTGGCTTCAGCTATGATGATGAGGATGGCCTCATGGCTACAGATCTCTGGCCTAGCTCCTGAAGCTCCACAGACCATAAAGGACTTACCATTTGATGGTCAGTTTTTGTTTTTGAGAGAACTGATGAAACTTGACATTCTTTTAAGGACTCTTGAGCTACTTTACAGTCTTCTGGGGGTTTCTAGCTACACCACAAAGGGATGTCATTTTGTAGGTCAGCAATAACACTAGCAATGTCGCGCTGAGTGATACATTCACCAGTCATCCTACTCTGCTAGGCTGCAAGACTTCCCCAGAAAAGGACATCATAGAGGAGAAGATCTTCTGAATCTAGTTTTAGCCAACCAGCCTATCCTCCTCCATCTTCAGGGAGGCAGCCTGTTTGATTTTGTGATCAAGAGCAGCATACAAGTTGTGGATCTCCCACATCTCTTCATCTGCTTCCTGAGCTGCTGACTCAGCACCATGGTCAGGTTGTTCATCCAGTGCTGAGCAGTCTACACCTCACGGCATAGATAGTACATGGCTAGATGCGTAGGTAGGGCAATGCTTGGAAGCAGTTCAGAGGATCCTGCTTAATAGTAGAAAACTATCTACTTATTTGGTTTGGTCAAGATCTAAGGGAATTCAATCCATGTCAGCTTGTGTTCAGGACATTTTGGACAGCCTGTTATATTTGAAGTCCTTGGGTCTAGGTCTTAGCTCACTGAGAGTTCATTTGGTGGCAATCTCAGCATTCCATCCTCTGATCCAAGGAAAGTCGATTTTCTCAAACTCCATGGTAGTGAGATTGCTGAAAGATATTGTCCACTTGTTTCCACTTGTGAAGGAAATGGTCCCATTCTGGGACATTAATACTATGCTGTTGTCTCTCCTCTTGTGGCTATAACATCCATAATAAGAGTCGGCGAATTACAAGCCTTAATGGAAGAACCTCCATATAATCAATTCTTCAGAGACAAAGTTTCCTTAAGACCATACCCAAAGATTTTGTCCATGGTGGTTTCAGTTTTACCTTAACCAAGTTATTTACTTGCCTATATTCTTTCCGAAGCCACACTCAAATGCAAATGAGCAGCATGTCCAGATGTTAGATGTGAGGCTGTGCTTGACGTTCTATTTGGAAAGAACTAAACTATTTCATTCAACACCTTGACTTTTTGTCAAACAAAAGCTCAGCTGGTCTCCACACAGAGGATGTCCAGGTGGGTAACTTACGGGCTCACTCAATGAGAGCCCAACAGACATCTATCTCATTTCTCAGCGATGTTTCAGTATTGTACGTTTGCAGGGCTGCTACATGGTCTTCCATGAATATTTTTATCAAATATTGTGCTATTACCATGACATCTAGGTCAGATGCAAGCTTTGGGATGGCAGTTCTGCAGTCACTGTTTAAGTAGACGCTGAGTCCCATGTCGTACGTGTACTGCTTGTGAGTCACCTGAGTGGAATACACGTCTGTAACCACTTGAAGAAGGAAAGATGGTTTCTGACCTGCATTGTACCTGTTGTTCTTTGAGATGTGGGTGAAGACGTATATTGTACCACGTACCCTCCATTCCCACTGCATTGGAGTCTCCAGCCTTGGCTTTGAGTGCGAAGGAACTGAGCCCAGTCGGGGTAGTGCTGCTGTTAGATAGCCTGGGCAGGGGCTACTTGGGTCAGAAGGTGCCAGTACAGGTACTGCCCATACAGGTACTGCTAAGCAAAGTTCTCTGGCTTCAGTGCGCTGGGCACGCACACACCTGAGTGGAATACATATTTTCACGCACATCTCGAAGAACAACAATAACAATACAGGTAAGTAACCGTCTTGTTTGGGTGGATGGGGTCAGATGTATTTTGCTGTTCTGAATAACTGACTAACAATTATGTTTAAAATAACTATTACTATTTGATATTCTATCAGTTATATCTAGTTTCTTTACATATAGCTGTAAGTAACTGCATTTTTAAATTATAAAGAGTGATTTACATAAATATTTATCTTGCGGGTGTATCTATAAAGCCCCATTTCATCACATATCTTAAGCCTGTGCTTAACTGTAAGCATGTGAGTACAGTAATTCCTTTAAAGACTATGGAGTTACTTGTGCACTTAGATTTAAGCACGTGTTTAAGTGCTTTGCTGGTTCTGGGCCTCAATTTCTGTTCTGTTCAGATCCTTAAACAGTGCCTATCACCTTGTACCAATAATTACCTTACAGAGCAAGCCAAGATTACAACAGTTTACCATGTTCTTAAAGTAGGAAGTACCTGTGGTGACCCTGCGGTCACACTTAGCAAATAGTGACTTTTTAATATCTTCTGCAGTATTTTCCTATATAGTCAGTTAAAGAAGGTTATTGATCTTACACCTCAGCTAGGCAGTAACTTTCTGTTCCCCTGGGAACCTCATGGAGCTGCATGTTCCACGCCAGAGGGCCAAATCCCCTAACTTCCACTGCTGGACTTAGGGTGGGAGGGAAGCTTCTGCTCCCTCCCTGATCCTCAGCTTGGCCAGGAGCTGGATGGCCCTGATGTAATTTAGAGTAGCCTAAGAACTGCTGTAAATTACGTTGGCTCCTTTGACTTGGACTGCCAGAGGATATTACACTCTGGTTTCACTCCTAGACTGCTTAGTAACATCCCCTGTGCCACGTGGGGATTCTCCCTATGTTAGGGGAATCCATAATTGCTCTGCATTCCCATTATGCCACTGGAGAAGCACAGAAGGGATGGAGTGAGGGGCCAGGAGTGTTTGGGAAAATTTGTTGGAATGAACTGGATCACTAAACAAAAAAGCAGTGAGGGCAAGAGAGAACAGGTGATAAAGCTATTAACCAGATCTTCAAACTTCTTTTCTAGTGATGTTGTGCGACTGGAGAAACCTGAGCTTGAGGAACAAAGAACCCAGCTCATTGTGAGAATCAATGCTGATAAAAATCAGTTGAAAGCTATTGAAGACAAAATTCTAAAAATGTTGTTTACTTCTGAGGGAAACATCCTAGACAAAGAAGAACTCATCAACACACTCCAGGAATCAAAGGCAGGAGACTCACTTTTACAATACCTTGTTTTAATTAAAAATAAGTGATATCTCTAGGGCTGTATGAAATGTTACACAGGGAAAGAATTCTCAGATTTATGTTTCTCCTTTATACATTGACTTTTACACATCCACAGTTCTAAAATAATAGGCCAAGCTTTCAAAACCCAGACCCATGTAATGCAGTTAGTCTGACTTAGGGGTCATGTGTCCCAATATAAAACCATTTTAAAAATCTAAATGAATTATATCCAGTAGTTTCCTATCTGTTGTTTTTGTTAATATTTTAATATTGTAGATTAGCATTTTAATATTGTAGGTTGGCTAGGCAATATTTAACTCTACAAAATTCTTGCTTGTTTGTTACTATCATAAAAATATTCTGCTAATGTGGTTGCCATTGTGCTTCGGCAGCACATATACTAAAATTGGAACGATACAGAGAAGATTAGCATGGCCGCTGCGCGAGGATGACATGCAAATTCGTAAAGCGTTCCATATTGGGGGGGGGGAAGGGATAGCTCAGTGGTTTGAGCATTGGCCTGCTAAACCCAGGGTTGTGAGTTCAATCCTTGAGGGGGCCATTTAGGGATCTGGGGCAAAAATCTGTCTGGGGATTGTTCCTGCTTTGAGCAGGGGGTTGGACTAGATGACCTCCTGAGGTCCCTTCCACCCCTGATATTCTATGATTAAAAAGTCAGAATTTGGTAATAGTTACCACACTGTGTATGAGATACCACAATAGTAGTAATACCTCACAATCTCCCCTTACACTTACAATAGGGAATAGCTGTTAACTGTGTGGAATCTGTTGGCAAATGCTAACTTTACTGGTTGTCACTCTAAGTATATTTGGCTCAAGATTTTTTCTTTATGAAAAAATAGTTTTCTTCTTTAAAGAATTCATGTGCGATAATTATGTAGCAGTTTCACTTTGCTTATCAAGGCTAGGTTCAGCTACACTTGTTCATATTGAATTGTATCTTACTCCACAAGTAATCCCACTGAAGTAAATGGGAGTCTGCCTAATTGCTCCCCAATGTGAATAAGGACTATGCAGTCTTACCAAATGGGACTGTTTGCAAAGTAAGATTCTACTCAGTGTGAAAGCCGCAGTAAAGATCTAGCTGTGAATTGTAGAATTCCTTAGGTTGGCCTCGTTCTTAATGGACAAATGTCTGCTTTACAAAAACCACAGTCCCAGTTGGTCAAAGCTGGCCCTCTAGTTGGTGGTCTCAGCCACATATTGAACACGCCACGAAGAATGAACTACCATTTCACTCCGAAAGATGGTCCTTTCGAGTCAGGCCTGAGACACACCAGATGGGTAGTGTGGGGAAGCTCGCACTACTGTTACCCTTGTAGTATCAGTACAGTGCATAATTTGGGTTAGGAAAAATGTAACCAATCATTCTAAACTCTTTCTGGCTGATTTTGGCCCATAACATTCACATTCTCAAAAGTGTAATAAATTAAAAGCCGGAAAATCAGACCCATCTGTTATACATTTATTTGCATGTAGAGTTTTGGAATAGTCATCTACATTTAGGGGCAGCGCTTCAGATGGGGTAAATTGGCATAGCTTCATTGAGGCTTAGGAGCCGGCCCATAATTTCCAGCAGAGTGTAGGCCATCATTCTAGAATGATGTTAAGCAAACCTCTTTTTCCCATTCTCTCCAGCTCTCCAGCACTGAGGCTGATAAGTTGCTTGCTTTGTGTATGGTTATATTCTTCAATTAATTATTTGGTAAACATTCTAAATATATTTTCCTCTTTCTTTTTTTCCCTTGTCATAATTTTTCATGATCTTCTGGGATACTGCCTCTGCTAAAAACCTACCAGTTATTCTTGGGGGTGTAAACTGGTGTTGTTGACTAATGACACTGTCAATATAAGTTACAAAATGCAGCGTAATACATTGATTTGCATAAATGCTTAACATTTCATTTTAAATTATCAAAGGAACTAATATTCTCTTCTAAAAGTATCCAATAGTTAAGACATAACCAAACCTGGATCTTGAGTTTCTGGTTTGTGACAGATAAAAGTTCTCTGTAGTTCTTGGAATAGAAGAATGCCTCCCTCAGCATGAGATGGCGCTTACATGTCTTTGGCGAGTGATGCATAAAATTACACCAGTGCCACCAACATCAAATGAGGAGCTTGCTCCTTGTGCTCCGAGCTTTCTCTCTCATGAAATGTTTTCTAAAATGCTATTAAAACTTGTTTCTTTTAGGTTACATCTGGTGCCATTAAAACAAGGCTAAAAGAAGCAGAATCTACTGAAGAGAAGATAAACACTGCTCGTGAAAAATACCGCCCTGTTGCTACTCGAGGGTCTGTCATGTACTTTGTAATTGCAAGTCTGTCAGAGATTGATCCCATGTATCAGTTTTCCTTAAAATATTTTAAGCAGGTTAGTTTCATTTTTCTTTGAAGTAAATAGCATTTAGTATATGAATACAAATAGTTATATATAACAGGCAGCAAAATTTAAGCCTTTAAGAAGTGTTTTTTCATTACACCAAAAAAGAATTCATTCTGTTTCTAATTTTAGATACATTTGGAAAATTAGTAATGTTATAAAACTTCCAAATATGATTCTAAGTACTGTTTCCAAATTTAGACATACATTTAGGTGTCTAGAGATAAGTTGTCTGATTTTCAAAATTGCAGAACACCCAGAGACTCTACTAAAGTCAAGAAATTTAACATGATGGTCGACACCTCTTAAAATCACTGCTGTTTAGGTGCCTGAATTTAAATAACCGAGTTTTATATTTAATGTAAGCGATTTTTCCAGCGTCTCACAAGAAGTCTGCACCCTGAAGAGTACCTGTCTCTTCAAAGTTAGCTTATTTTTCTAGTTCAATGGTTCTGAAATTTTGTAAGCCACAACCATCATATTAAAGTGAGTTTATTTTCTCATCTTATCTTCTTACTGTTCTCTTAATATTACTTCTTGAAAATTCCATGCACTATAGTGGTTGCAGAAAAAAATGGGAATCATTACTGAGAGGTTGGGAGGAGACATGCTCCGCGTATGAGAGGATCTCTCACTTAAGAAGTATTGTATAATATGACATAGTTTGAGAATCATTGTTCTAGTCCAGTGAATTAATCTAGAAGTGTGCTGTTATTAACAATTAGAAATAAGCTCATCAAAACTGTTTGTTTTTTTTCTTGCAGTTATTTAATACAACTATTGAGACTTCTGAAAAGAATAATAATTTGCAGCAGCGCCTGGCAATACTGCTTAGCCAGACTCTCTATGCAACTTATACCAATGTTTCCCGCGGCCTTTTTGAACAACACAAACTCATCTACAGCTTTATGCTGTGCATTGAGATCATGCGGCAGAGAGAAGAACTTACCGATACAGAATGGAACTTTTTCCTCCGGGGCTCTGCTGGCTTAGATAAGGTGCACTTGGAGTAGATTGATGATAAACAAAATAGTAAATGATCATATATTTTTGGTTTTGCAAAGCAATTTGTAGATATTGAAAGGAGGTTGGTGTCTACATTTGTCTTTACAATAGTGACTTTGGTGACTTCTAATTATGATTTTCCATCATGTGATATGATACATTTTGAGGCATGAAACATTTGAACAGTTATTTTAGATATTTGTTACTTATTGGTTACAGTCAAAGAAAGCATCATTATTCAGGACAGCATTTAAACATATACTTAATTTTAAGCATGTCAATGGGACTTAAACACATACTTAAAGCTGAGCATGTGCTTAAGTGACGTTCTGAATAAGAATGAATTTAAGATCATGCTTAAATGCTTTTCTGAATTGGGGCCACTATTAATAAACTTGTTTCTTGTGCAACTTTCACATTTTGACTATTAAAAATAGTCATATATTTGTTGAGCTTGTATTTACCACCTTCTTCTTTCATATTTTCACTGATCCTTTCATCTTTCCAACAGCAACGCCCTGCTAAGCCCGATGTTCCATGGCTCGAAGACACCACATGGTTTATGTGTTGTGACTTAGAGGAAACACTCCCGTGTTTTCAAGGAATTCAGAATGACATACTGTCCACACACATTTTCATTAAATTAGGTAACATGATAAATAAGAAAGTGGATTGGAAAAGCCATTTTGCTTCTACCAAACCTGTGCTTCAAGGAGGGTTTTCTACACTGATTCTACTTATATTTTATCAAACCTATTTTTGAACAGCTTCAGAAACAGTAACTCAGCCACTGCAGCAAGCAGTTTATTCAAAGCCTTAAGACATTTATGTGTACTTTTCCATTTTCCCTTTGACATGACGACTCCTTTTCCTGTTACTCTCATTTACACTCTCTGCTGGGGGACTTGGCAGTGATCTTCTTTCAACAGGCTGGAGCTCCCCACATTGGAAGAGTGGGGACAGCAGCAGGGGAGGCCCCCTATCTCTGCCCCACAAGGGGCAGTAGGGGTCCTCCTGACTACTTGGGAGAAGCAGGGCAACAGTATGATCCCTTCTCTCAGAACCAACAGTGCCCCCCTCTTTCTCCCAGTGATGCAGAGGTAATAGCCAGGAGGCCCCCCAGTAGTCTACCCCAATAGCCGAAATGTATCTGCTTTATTGGAAGAGTGGGCTGGGCCTGCTGCACTACTCTCCTTCCACACACACAATCTTCTGCAGCAGTGATGTTGACCCAGCCCCCCAAATCCGTGATACTGCAGGAAAAACCTGATTAAGATGAATGGGGCAGCTTACCCCTCTCAGTGCTATTGTTTTAGGCTCTCTGCAAGCTCTGGCAGACATCTCAGTTACGCTTGGGTCACCTTTTCAGGCTTTTCTTTGAAACCATGAGAGATAGAAAGCCACTTACAAAAAATTGAAGCTCAGATTCTGCCATAATTATGTGACAGCAGGAGCCTATCATGCCTATGCCTTAATCCAACATTGTCTGTCCCCAAAATAGAATCCTACAGCTGGTCACACAGTCACCATGATTGCATGCAAAGAGCCAGTTAGACCTTTAACTCATGTACAAAAGAGAGCCTTTGCCTTTTTGAAAATTTGCTCTTACATATCATCGTACCATTGTGAACGGTTTGTGCTTGGCAAATTCTAAATTTAAGACACTGCTAATGACAACGTCATTTGTAGGGTGCCTTGAAATTCGTGTCAACCCAGAAACGTCGGAAACATATGATTCTGAACCCGCCCCTTCTGCAGAGCAAACTGAAGAAGAAAAAAAGGAAGGCACAATGAAAGCTTCCTGGGACACAAGACTGAGCATGTTTCAGAAATTAATTATTGTGAAAAGCTTTATGGAAGAAAAGGTAAAATCCAATTGCACAGAAATTTACATCCACACCAAAGCTACAAGCATTTGCTAAATTGTGTCATTTGGATGTTGGCTTGAAGAGGGGATGATGCAGAGATGGACCTTCCCAATGGAAGCTTGGATCTGTATGGAGAAGAGGGCTAGACTGGTCTACCCCTTCCCTAGCTTCTTTGGGACTGTGTGAATCTGCCGCAAGAGCGATGTCTGTACTCTTCCAAGTAGAGGGACTGAGATTTGTGACTGGCCCATGGGTGGCAGGATGGAGAGGGTCCTTGTACCAGTCACAATCTCTCCCTTTGTAATTAATTTATATTTACTAGAGGTCTGCTGCAAAGTCTGTGAATTTAAGAGTGCAGTGGGAAGTTTGACTTCACAGGGGCTACTCACATGCCTCTGTGGACCATGGCCAGTTCTAGTTTGCCAATGATCTTATCCAAACTTTTTGGATGTTGAATCAAACTTTTTGAAATGCCCCTAGTACTAACTGAGGCATGTTTGAGTTAACAGAATGCAGTGAATGTTTTCTTTTTATGGGTTTCGGGAGGTGGTTGCTTGAAGGGATGGTAATGATTTTGAACTTGGAAGATTGATGATTTTCACCACTGATTAATTAGTCTTTGTTATTTGTATTTGCCCCAGTGAGGACTGGGCCTGATGGTACTGTACAAAGACATACAAAGGCCTGGTCTACACTACGAGTTTAGGTCGACTTTAGCCGCGTTAAATCGAATTAAGCCTGGACACGTTCACACGACGAAGCCCTTTCTTTTGACTTAAAGGGCCCTTTAAACCGGTTTCTTTACTCCACCTCCGACGAGGGGATTAGCAATAAAATCGGCCTTAGGGGGTCGGAATTGGGTGTGTGTGGACGGAATTCGACGTTATTGGCCTCCGGGAGCTATCCCACAGTGCTTCATTGTGACCGCTCTGGACAGCACTCTCAACTCAGATGCACTGGCCAGGTAGACAGGAAAAGCCCTCGAATGTTTGAATTTCATTTCCTGTTTGCTCGGCGTGGAGAGCACAGGTGACCACGCAGAGCTCATCAGCACAGGTAACCATGATGGAGTCCCAGGATCGCAAAAGAGCTCCAGCATGGACAGAACGGGAGGTATGGGATCTGCTCGCCATATGGGGAGACGAATCACTGCTGGCTGAACTCCGAAGCAGTAAACGAAATGGCAAAATATTAGAAAAGGTCTCCAAGGCCATGAAGGACAGAGGCCATAACAGGGACGCACAGCAGTGCCACATGAAAATTAACGAGCTAAGGCAAGCCTACCACAAAGCCAGAGAAGCAAACGGAAGGTCCGGGGCAGAGGCGCAAACATGCCGCTTCTACGCGGAGCTGCATGCCATTCTAGGGGGTGCAGCCACCACTACCCAACCGTGTGCTATGACTCCCTCACTGGAGAAACACACAGGGAAGCGGGTTCGGGGTACAAGGAAGATGAGGATAGAGAAAATGTAGATAGCTCACAGCCGCAAGGAAGCGGAGAAACCGGTTTCCCCAACAGCCAGGATATGTTTATCACCCTGGACCTGGAACCAGTAACCCCCGAACTCACCCAAGGTGTGCTCCCAGACCCTGAGGGCACACAGGGGACCTCTGGTGAGTGTACCTTTGTAAATATTACACATGGTTTAAAAGCAAGCGTGTTTAATGATTAATGATTAATTTGCCCTGGCAATCGCAGCCAGTACAGCTACTGGAAAAGTCTGTTAACGTGTATGGGGATGGAGCGGAAATCCTCCAGGGACATCTCCAGAAAACTCTCCTGGATGTACTCCCAAAGCCTTTGCAAAAGGTTTCTGGGGAGGGCTGCCTTATCCCGTCCGCCATGGTAGGACACTTTACCACGCCAGGCCAGTAGCACGTAGTCTGGAATCATTGCATAACAAAGCATGGCAGCGTATGGTCCCGGTGTTTGCTGGCATGCAGACAACATCCATTCCTTATCACTCTTTGTTATCCTCAGGAGAGTGATGTGTAATGTGAACAGCAAAATTTAACGTGAAAGAGTGTACCCATTGTTCTCTAAAATGTGTCTTTTTTAACCACCTCTCCCTTCTCCTCCACCAGCTGCAAATGTTTCTCCTTCACAGAGGCTAGTGAAGATTAGAAAGAGAAAACGTAGGACGCGTGATAACATGTTCACAGAGCTACAGATGTCCTCCCACGCTGACAGAGCACAGCAGAATGCGTGGAGGCAGTCAATGACTGATTACAGAAAAGCACAATATGAACGAGAGGAGAGGTGGTGTGCTGAATCGCGGGATGAACAGAGCAAGTTGTGGGCTGAAGATGATAGGTGGCGTCAGCTTGCAGACAGAAGGCAAGAGTCGATGCTCCGGCTGCTGGAGCATCAAACTGATATGCTCCAGCGTATGGTTGAGCTGCAGGAAAGGCAGCAGGAGCAGAGACTGCCGCTACAGCCCCTGTATAACCAACAGCCCTCCTCCCCAAGTTCCATAGCCTCCTCACCCAGACACCCAAGAACACGGTGGGGGGGCCTCCGGCCACCCAGTCACTCCACCCCAGATGATTGCCCTAGCATCAGAAGGCTGGCCTTCAATAAGAGTTAAAGTTTTAAACTGCAGTGTGTCCTTTTCCTTCCCGCCTCCCCCACCCATCCCGGGCTACCTTTGCAATTATCCCCCTAGTTGTGTGATGAATTAATAAAGAATGCATGAATGTGAAGTAACAATGACTTTATTGCCTCTGCAAGCGGTGCTCGAAGAGGGAAGGGGAGGGTGGGGTGGTTGGCTTACAGGGAAGTAGAGTGAACCGGGTGGGGGGGGCGGAGGGTTCATCAAGGAGAAACAAACAGAAGTTTCACACCGTAGCCTGGCCAGTCACAAAACTCGTTTTCAAAGCTTCTCTGATGCGCACCGCGCCATGCTGTGCTCCTCTAACCGCCCTGGTGTCTGGCTGCGTGTAATCAGCGGCCAGGCGATTTGCCTCAACCTCTCACCCCGCCATAAATGTCTCCCCCTTACTCTCACAGATATTGTGGAGCGCACAGCAAGCAGCAATAACAATGGGGATATTCTTTTCGCTAAGGTCTGAGCGAGTCAGTAAGCTGCGCCAGCGCGCTTTTAAACGTCCAAATGCACATTCCACCACCATTCGGCACTTGCTCAGCCTGTAGTTGAACAGGTCCTGACTCCTGTCCAGGCTGCCTGTGTACGGCTTCATGAGCCATGGCATTAAGGGGTAGGCTGGGTCCCCAAGGATCACGATAGGCATTTCAACATCCCCAACGGTTATTTTCTGGTCCGGGAAGAAAGTCCCTTCCTCCAGCTTTAGAAACAGACCAGAGTGCCTGAAGACGCGAGCATCATGTACCTTTCCCGGCCATCCCACGTTGATGTTGGTGAAACGTCCCTTGTGATCCACCAGGGCTTGCAGCAGCATTGAAAAGTACCCCTTGCGGTTTATGTACTTGGTGGCTTGGTGCTCCGGTGCCAAGATAGGGATATGGGTTCCGCCTATGGCCCCACCACAGTTTGGGAATCCCATTGCAGCAAAGCCATCCACTATGGCCTGCACGTTTCCCAGAGTCACTACCCTTGATATCACCAGGTCTTTCATTGCCCTGGCAACTTGGATCACAGCAGCCCCCACAGTAGATTTGCCCACTCCAAATTGATTCCCGACTGACAGGTAGCTGTCTGGCGTTGCAAGCTTCCACAGGGCTATCGCCACTCGCTTCTCAACTGTGAGGGCTGCTCTCATCCTGGTATTCTGGCGCTTCAGGGCAGGGGAAAGCAAGTCACAAAGTTCCATGAAAGTGCCCTTACGCATGCGAAAGTTTCGCAGCCACTGGGAATCGTCCCACACCTGCAGCACGATGCGGTCCCACCAATCTGTGCTTGTTTCCCGGGCCCACAATCGGCGTTCCACGGCATGAACCTGCCCCAGTAACACCATGATTTCCACATTGCTGGGGCCTGTGCCTTGTGAGAGGTCTATGTCCATGTCAATTTCCTCATCACTCTCATCGCCGCGCTGCAATCGCCTCCTCGGCTGGTCCTGGTTTTGCTTTGGCATGTTCTGGCTCTGCATATACTCCAGGACAATGCACGTGCTGTTCATAGTGCTCATAATTGCCGCGTTGATCTGAGCGGGCTCCATGATCCCAGTGCTAGCTATGGTGTCTGGTCTGAAAAAAGGCGCGAAACTAGTATCTGACGGACCAACGGAGGGAGGGAGGGGCGAGTGACGACATGGCGTACAGGTACAGGGAATTAAAATCAACAAAGGTGGCTGTGCATCAGGGAGAAACACAAACAACTGTCACACAGAATGGCCCCCCCCCCCCAAAGATTGAACTCAAAACCCTGGGTTTAGCAGGCCGTTGATTTGACGGAGGGAAAGGGAAGCAAATGAATACAGAACAAATCTATTTTTTACATCTTAAGACGACGGTGCAGCATGACTGATAGCCCTCGGCATCTTCTGGGTGCTTGGCAGCAAATACTGGGTGCTTGGCAGTTAGTGTACTAAGACTGATAGCCACATTTTTCCTGTATGATGACGATGGCCTTCAGGCCTATTGCACGATCTGCTGCTCAGGGAAGACTCTGCTAATGTGCGATGATCCAACTTGTAATAGGACGGTTACCAGTCGTAATACACCATCTACTGCCAAAAGGCAAAAGGCAAGGGGCTGGTGCAATGCAGCCCTACGGCTGCCAGCCCCACGGCTGCCAGCACCCAGATCGCCGATGAAGGCTACCAGTCATGCTGCACCGTCTACCGCCAAAAGGCAGTTAGCTGCTGCTGCTGTGTAGCAATGCAGTCCCACGTCTGCCGGCACCCAGATGACATATGGTGACGGTGAGCTGAGCTGAGCGGGCTCCATGCTTGCCATGGTATGTTGTCTGCACAGGTAACCCAAGTAAAAGGCGCGAATCTATTGTCTGCCTTTGCTCTGACGGAGGGGGAGGGGCCTGATGACATGTACCCAGAACCCCCCGCGACACTGTTTTGCATCATTCGGGCATTGGGATCTCAACCCATAATTCCAATGGGCGGCGGAGACTGTGGGAACTGTGGGATAGCTACCCATAGTGCAATGCTCCGGAAGTCGACGCTAGCCTTGGTACTGTGGACGCGGTCCGCCGACTAGAGCACTTAGAGCATTTTATGTGGGGACACACACAATCAGCTGTATACAACCGATTTCTATAAAACCGACTTCTATTAATTCGACCTAATTTCGTAGTGTAGACATACCCAAAGATACAGTCCTGGCCTGGAAGGGTTATACAGTCGAATGTAAATGCTGTTCTCTGGGCCTCTTTCTGTTTGTAAATTGGTATGTTTTCATATCTTCAGGTGGTCTCTGCACTTACTGAGTTTGTAATAGAGAACCTTGGAAAACAATTCATAGAGAATCCCCCAGTTGACTTGGGAACTCTTTATCAAGACATGTCCTCTTCAACGCCTCTGGTGTTTATCCTAAGCACAGGCTCTGACCCCATGGGAGCTTTCCAGAGGTTCGCAAAAGAGCGAGGATATTCAGAACGGTACAAAGAACATAGTTTTATTAGACATGGTATTCAGCTGGGATGTTCAAAGGACCCCAAGGAGTTTAAGGAAACTGGGTATCGGGTATCAAAGAACCCTAAGGATTTTAAGGGAACCTGGGTACCTAATTCCTCTAGTCTTCTTTGAAAATTCCACCCTCTTATGCTTGTACATTTATTCCATTGAGTTATACTGTAACATGTACTGTCTGTGGGTGAAATGCTGGCCCCACTGACTTTTACCATTGACTTTAGTGGGGTCAGGATTTCACCCTCTCTATACATTAATGTATGTTAAAATATATTATTTTAGTTCTCCTCCAAACTATATACTATAGCAATGCTTCAGCCAAAGCTGTCGAATCAGACTCCTAAAACCATATTGGGCACCTAAATTACATTGGTACAGTTTTCGGAGATTATGAGCACTTTCAGCTCCCACAGACTTCAGTGGATTTGTAGGTGCCCAGCACCTCTGAAAATTAGGCCACTTTTATTTGGGGTCTAAATATGTGTTGAGGAGCCTAAATTTCAGCACCCAAGTTAGGAAATTTTGGCCATTATCTTTAAAAGCTACAAATCTTAAAAAAACCTACCATTTCAAAAGTCACTATATGTTCAAATATTTGCATCATGAACGTTGACAAAATTTTCTCTCCGTTTCAGAGTACGGTCAATTTCACTAGGGCAAGGGCAAGGACCTATTGCAGAAAAGCTGATAAAGGATGCAATGAAAACAGGAAATTGGGTTTTTCTGCAAAACTGTCATCTAGCAGTTTCATGGATGTTAGCTATGGAGGAGCTTATAAAAAGCTTTACCGAGCCAAGTATGTAATTTTCCTTCTACAATACAATATGCTTCCCTGAAGGTAGTGCCAAATCAGAAGTGTGCTTTTCCACTTTTTGCTTGTCTTGCCGATGAGAAGGGAAAGAGCCAAAGAAAAGGTCGTCTGCAGGATTAAGAAATTGCTCATCCTGTTAGAGAGTATTACCCTTATTCTATGCGCTGTAGTGCTCATTTGTTTATTAATTTCATTTGCTTGTTTATAGGCTTTCACTATTGTATCTGTTCACCTCACATATTTTAAAGAATATATTCACATTAATGAATTTATCCTCACAATGCCAACAGCCTGTAAGGGTACGTCTATACTTACCCGCTGGTTCGGCGGCAAGCAATCGATCTTCTGGGATCGATTTATCGCGTCTTGTCTAGACGTGATAAATCGATCCCGGAAGTGCTCGCCGTCGACGCCGGTAATCCTGCTCCGCGAGAGGAGTAGGCGGAGTCAACAGCGGAGCCTGCCTGCCGCATGTGAACCCGCGGTAAGTACCTTTAAGTTCGAACTAAGATACTTTGACTTCAGCTACGTTATTCACGTAGCTGAAGTTGCGTACCTTAGTTCGAACTGGGGGCTTAGTGTGGACCAGCCCTAAGACAGGGAAATATTATCCCTATCCACAGATTGGGAACGGAAGCACAGAGATATTTACATATGATTCATCACAATCCTCAGCGATCTACTCCACCCAACACACCAAACTACTTTGCCAAATGTGCACTACTAATGGTGTTTGGAAGCGGGTAGTTTGGTAAAAGGATACGTGCAGACAGGAAGGCTGTGGCGGGGCAGAGTTCAAGTTGTGGTCTGTTGTAGTGACCAGGTGTGTGCTTGTAGGTGACTACCTGTCTGTTACTTGGTCCTGCTAGTGAAGGCAGGGGGCTGGACTCGATGACCTTTCAGGGTCCCTTCCAGCTCTATGAGATAGCTATATCTCCATATATTAGTATATTATTAGTTGGCTTACACTGTCATTTCCTTGCTTTTAGTGGTTTTGTTCCATGTATGTAATGTCGGCCGCAACTTTAACTGCTTCACAGTGAAGTTTTTTGTACATTATAAAAATTAAGGTCCGGGTTGCTTCAGCCAATTCCCATGGGAAAACTCCAGCCACTAACCAGAGTCCCTTTTTCCTTGCTAGGCCTTCTCCAACTACATTCACAGACTCACAGGGAGCTGAACTCTTCTCTCTTTGAGAGCTTCCTTCTCCCCAGCCTCCTCAAGTCCTCTGAAAACCAATCCTTCTATAGCAGCAGCTGCAATTGAGCCCAGCTGGTCTGCTTTTTCCCTCTCCTTGGCTCCCTATTAATCCTTTCTCTACCGTCATAATGCACAGTTTGTTTATACTCCTTCACTGTCCTTATAAGTTAATGCTTAGCCAAGCTGTGCATATTGGGGTTGATTTTGAGGGCATAAAGACCATTTAGAAATTCAGCTCCCATTGAAGGTCAGTGGAAGTTGGCCACCTGATTTCTTTAGACTCCTTTGACAATTCCAGCCATTTAGTTCTTTTCTGATTTCTTTATATGTCAGCACTTCCATCCCCTTAATTATTGTGTTGCTTTTCTCTGTACCCCATTCAGTTTTTCTGTAGCTTTCTATTACTTAGGTGCCTAGAACGGAACACAGCATTCCAGCTGTGGCAGCAATATAGACACGTACCAAGGAAGTGTTATTTATGACATGATACTTCTGCATATATAGCTCAAAATTACATTAGCATTTCCTGCTGCCATATCCCATTGCAATCTCATATCTAGCTGTCTGCTATCATCCCTCAATCTCTTTCAGCATTATTGCTTTTCAGGTTTTTCTTTCTGAAGTAATATCTGTATTTCTTATTATTTTTCTCCATATGCATTTTCGTCTCGCTTTATCTCCTGACTCCCCTGTAGTCCCTACTGTCCAAGCTTTCCATGTTCCTTTTTACTATCTGTTTATGTTCACTGGTGTTTGAAACACTTCCCAAATTATCCCCTGTAATTTAAATATAATGCTGTTTACTCCCTCTTCCAGATCATAAATGAACATTAGGTAGGATATGTAGTTCCAGTACTCCAGTCATTGGAAAGCTAGATCTCATGGCAAATTGCTTAAGATTTGTGTATGAATGTTAACAAGTAAATTCTTTCACAGGAGTGTAGTGACTGTACTCATTCTTTTGGTTTTCAGATGTTTCTATTCAGGAGAGCTTTCGACTCTATTTAAGTTCCATGCCTAGTGAAACCTTTCCTGTCACTGTCCTTCAGAACTCTGTCAAGGTAATATATCTGGAAATACCCCTAAGCAAAATGAACAATGCAAGGACGAAATAAATTGTTTACGGAGTATCTCAAATCAAATGTCTAATCTGTAGTTTCTAATTAATCAAAATCCAAAAAGCGTATTATACAAGTTGGAATGTTTGTATCTTTTGCTCTTATATTTAGGATGGTCAGACACGTCATTTTCTTTGAAAACACTAAATGGGATCAGCTGACAATCAGCAATCCAACCAGTGTAAACTCAAGGTTTTTATTATTTAAGGTGTCCAAAGTTCTGACGAGCCAAACTGAGTCCAAAATCCATAGTCTCTTCTCCACTGTGGCACCTGTAAATACAACATATTCAGCAACCACCACCAAAACCACGCCATCAGAGGGAGTGTGATATTTCAGGAGAATGCAGAATGAAACAGGAAAGGACCCACCTCTGCCCTGCAGAGCTCTTTATAGACAATTTTGATCCTGCATGCACCAATTCTGTTGCCAAGTGGCTGCAACTTTATCAGCTCTTGTAACTAAGTCCTGTGTCCTCACCCCAATTTTGTGGTTCAATTGGTCTCTGGTTTCCATCTCAATCTGTCCATTAACCCACCGGTATATTATTCAGCTTCATTGGCATCCAGGGAAGTCATGCTCCATGCCTTAGACATCCAGAGGGCCTGAAGTTATCATCTATATAGGGCCATATATATCTCCAAGTCCGTCAAACTTTTTGTGGCGTATGGGGAATAAGGCCTGGGTTCAGTCCATTGCAGCTTACAGGCTGTCCAAATGGATCAGAGTATGTATACATGATTTTATGACCTGACAGGTGTTCAGACACCTGAGGATATCAGAGCATACTCAACTAGGTCCAGAACAACTTCTAAAGCATCTTTTTGCACTGTCTTCACCATCAAAATATACAAGGCTTCTCCTTGGAGTTCTAAATATACTTTGCACAGCATTACTCCCTCAACTCGATCTCTAGAACAAATTTGGTGATAACTTTTATCTCCTCTGACCACCTTCTAAACAATTACTGCTGCTGGCTAATCTGCCAAGGGAGGGGATCTATCTATTCTTCTTCAAGTGCTTGCTCATGTCCATTCCATGTTAGGCGTGTGTGCTCGCCACATGCACCAGTGCCGAAGTTTTTCCCTCAGTGGTATCTGTAGGGGACCGGCTCTGGCGCCCTCTGGAGTGGCGCGCATATGCCGCGGTATAAGGTGCACCGCTGCCCCTCCTCACCCCCCCTACCCCCCCGTTCCTTCTCACTGCCAGTGACGGTGCTGGAAAATACCTTTGCTTCGGCAAACTTTTTCTTCTCTAGAACTGTTCATTGCGAACTTTCTTTTGTAAATAGTTATAACAATTAGTGTTAGTTCCCTTAGTGTGTTTTAGTTAGTTTACAGTTATCCCAGAAGGGACTTAGGCTCGGGACGGGGCCTGCTCCGGTCCCCGGGCTTTAAGAACTGCGACCGCTGTAGGAAGCCTAAGCCGGTCAGTGACCTCCACACCAGTTGTTTAAGGTGTTTGGGGGAATCTCACGTCAGCGACAGGTCTCGTATCTGCAGGAACTTTAAGCCTTGCACTAAGAAAGAGTGGGACTTCCGACTTAAAGCACTCCTTATGGAGTCGGCGCTGGAGCAGGCAAGATCGGACTCCGTGGCTTTGGTGCAGAGCGCCCTGCTGGTGCCGCTGTCAGACAGGCGAAATTTCACTTCCACATCTTGTCCCTCCTGGTGCCACCCACACCGGTGACGGCAGCTCCCAAATCAAGGGGTCAGCCTGTCTTTGGACCATTCCTTTGGTCCCTGTCAGTGCAGCTCCACTTGCCACCTGAGGGAGCATCCTGCCAGTGCTCGCCCACACAGAGCCACTGCGCCGTGGACATAGGGCTGCCTACCAGTTGGAGCCGTCGGTGCCAGTCTCCAGATTCTGGTCCTCGCTCTGCGGGGTTTTCGGTAGTATGGCATAGACCTATTGAGGCACGCTCAACCCCACGACCCCGGTACTGGGAGCGTCGTAGCCACTCCCCTTCAGTTAGACGCCACTCCAGCAAAAGCCTCCGTCGGGACTCTCGGTACCTGTCACGGGCCGACTGACATAGGTTGTCATACCAGTGTCGACGCTCAACATCGCAACATCGATCACGCTCTTGCTTCCGCTCCATGGATCAGTACCTGTCAGGAAGCGTTCGGCATAGACCGCCGGGGTACCATTGCAGATCCGTTAGACACTGGTCACCGGGATCTCGGTGCGGTGCGTGGTCGCCCGCGTACAGATCCCACTAAGAGCATGGCGGTGGACACTGCTGGGACCGAGACACCTGGTCAGCCTCGGTACAGTCCCGGTATCCAGAGCAGGGCCCTTCATCCCAGGGCTTGGAGTCGGACTAAGAGCCCCTGCAGGCAGGTCAAGGTCCTCCATTGGCGGCACCGGTCCTTCCGGTGGCACCCACAGGACTATCGTAGCCTCGGGGTCAATGCCCATGCCATGGCACCCTTGGAACCCGTGGGGGTTCCCGCAGCCGTCCCAAGGGCATCAGTCAGTGTTAGGAGTCTCCAAAAAGCCCTCTGCCATGGTCTCCCGCCCATCTGAGATGGAGGCCCTGGTGCTTGGGGGAAGAAGGTCCTGCCGAGCAGGTCACAGAGGTGGTGGCACCTGCTGCAGCCACATCCTCTTCCTCATCCCCTGATGAGGCCATCATGAGGCCCCCACCTGTGGTCCCCTGGATGATACCAAAGCTCATCAGGAGCTTTTGAGGAGAGTAGCCTCGAACTTGGGGCTAGAAACTGAGGAGCTGGAGGAGCTCTCTGACACGTTTAGCGTCCTCAGCTCAGCAGCCCCCACTAGAGTCGCGCTGCCAATTCATGAGGGGGTGGCCAAAATTACCAAAGCCCTCTGGCAGACCCCCTCATTGCTACCCCCCATTTCCAAGCGGGCGGAGCGCAAGTACTATGTGCCCACAAGAGGGTATGAGTACTTCTATACCCACCGTGCCCCGAACTCGTTAGTAGTGCCTGCAGTCAACGAGCGGGAAAGGCAGGGACAACCAGGGTGAAGAAGCTGGACTCTTTGGGGAGAAACGTTTATTTGTCATCAAGCCTACAGCTGAGGGTAGCGAACCATCAGGGCCTCTTGGGCTGTTATGATTTTAATGTTTCCCAGAGGACCCCAGGAAAGAGTTCCAGGCCATCCTGGAAGAGGGGCAGGGAGTGGTGAGGGCGGCCCTGCAGGCAGCTTCAGACGCAGCTGATTCTGCAGCGCGGACCATGGTCTCGGCCATAGTAATGAGGAGGGTGGCGTGGCTGCAGTCCACTCCTCGGGCTTGTCGGCTGAGGTCCAACAGTCCCTCCGGGACCTCCCATTCGATGGCCAGGCCCTGTTTGCAGAGAAAACAGACGATAAGCTGCACAGGCTAAAGGACTCGCGCACCACACTCAAGACCCTGGGCCTGTACCCTCCGGGGCAGCAAAGAAAGCGACTTAAGCCACGGCCTCCCCATCAGTAGCGCAGCCAGCCTAGTCAGGAGCCTTACCATAAGAAGGGCAACGGTTACAAGTGCTGTCAGGGCCAGCAGCCATCTACCTCGACACAGGCTGGTGCTTCCCGCTCCCAGCAGGGGTCAAAGCGGGCATTTTGAGGGTGTGCCCAAGGGCAACATTCCAGCCACTGTCCTGGATCCTGCTCCCCTCCATTTTTCCAGCTGCCTTTCTTTTTTCCTCCCAGCCTGGGCGTCTATAACTTCGGACCGTTGGGTCCTCAAAACTGTGGCACAGGGCTATGCCCTCCAATTTGTTTCAAACCCCCCATCCCACCCTCCCTCACCACCCCTCTCCAGGGACCCCTCTCATGAGAGTCTACTGCACCAGGAGGTACAGGGCCTGCTGCAGGCAGGGGCTGTGGAAGAAGTCCCCCTAGACCTCAGGGGCAAGGGGTTCTACTCCCGTTACTTTCTGATCCCAAAGTCCAAAGGGGGCCTAAGGCCCATCCTGGACCTACGACTCCTCAACAAGTTTCTCAAGAGGTTGAAGTTCCTCATGGTCTCCCTGCCCTCCATCCCCTCCCTGGATCCAGGAGACTGGTATGCCACCCTCGACTTGAGGAATGTGTACTTTCATATAGCAATCTTTCAAGGACACAGTCGCTTCCTCCGCTTCATGGTGGGATCCGCATACTAACAGTTCGCAGTGCTCCCCTTCGGCCTGGCAATGGCACCGAGGGTGTTCACAAAGTGCATGTCGGTGGTGGCGGCTCACCTCAGGCATCGAGGACCTTCTCTCGCAAGACCACGGTCGCCTCTTGCACCCCAACCTCACCTCCCTCCACCTCATGTGAATGCTGCATGGTTGAACCCGGAGGAGTAAGCCTTCTCCAGGGAGGTGCAGCAGGTCTTTTGGGGAAGTAGAAAACCCACCACTAGAGCAACTTGCCTGGCGAAATGGACAAGGTTGTCCCACTGGTTCTCCCCGACGTGCTCTTCTCTGCAGTCAATCTTGGAATACCTGCTCTTCCTGAAGAATCAGGGTCTGGCCCTCTCTTCTATCAAGGTTCATCTAGCTGCCATCTCGGCTTTTCTCATCCGCTGATCCAGGGTAGATCGGTGTTCTCGCACGAGATGTCCATCAGGTTCCTGAAAGGCCTCAAAAGGCTCTTCCCTCCCATTAGGGATCCTGTCCCACAATGGGACCGCAATCTGGTTCTCTCCAGACTCACGGGTCTGCTCTTTGAACCCTTGGGCCCTTGTTCCCTTTCCCACCTATTGTGGAAGGTTGCCTTCCTTGTGGCAGTGACGTAGGCTAGGCGAGTGTGGGAGATTAAAGCCCTAACCTTGGAACCACCATATACGGTCTTCTACAAAGATAAGGTACAGTTGCAACCCATCTGGCCATCCTGACAGAGGTGGTGTCTTCCTTCCATATCAACCAGGACATCTTCCTCCCCATGTTCTGTCTTAAGCTGCACAAGACCAATGAGAGGCGGCGGCACTCCCTGGACGTCCGACATGCCTTGGCGTTTTACCTGGAGCATACCAAGCCCTTTCGCAGGTCGACACAGCTTTTCATCACAACAGCGAACAGGATGAAGGGCCGTCTGGGGTCCTCTCAGAGGATCTCCAACTGGATCACTTCCTGCATCTGAACCTGTTATGAGCTGGCGCAGGTCCAACCGCCGCCTCTGGTGAAGGACCACTTGACGAGAGCACAAGTGTCCTCGATGGGACATTTGCAGAGCTGCGACGCGATCTTCGGTTCACACGTTCACAGAACACTATGCCATCACACAGCAGGCCAGAGATGACGCGGGGTTCAGCACAGCTATGTTACCAGCTACACGTCCGTGAACTCCTACCCGCTTCCGTTGGTACTGCTTGGGGGTCACCTAACATGGAATGGACATGAGCAAGCACTCGAAGAAGAAAAGACAGTTACCCTTTTCCATAACTGGTGTACTTCGAGATGTGTTGCTCATGTCCATTCCATGTCCCGCCCTCCTTCCCCACTGTTGGAGTTCTGGCAAGAACTCCTTCCCTTTGATAAAACTTTAGGAATGTTCTCCCTTCCCCAGTGGAACATACATTAAGAAAAAACAGAAAAAATCAGAAAGGTCCCCCACTCTCACCTTCTTTGTTGAAGCCAACACATTGATTCTATCATACTCTGGTCCATTTGATTCTGTTCTATATAGGTTCTTATATTATATTCATCACCATAGTATCTGAGCACTTTCCAGTAGTTCTGTAAGTAATCTTCATCTAATCCAGACACTCAAGACTGACACTAGCTCCTTACAAATGTAGCCTGGAACAAGAGCAAATGGAATAACCTAGCATGAACTCTGATGTCCCTCCTGATCTTTGTAACCCTAATCCATTTAAATCAAGATACTGACTACTGCTGGCTGGACAGTCTTTCTGCCCAGTAAGACAACCATCTGCTAAACTAAGATCTGGAAGCTGGAAGCTGTTGTCCAAATAAAGCAGTTAAATTGCAGTAGTGTGTACTCCGCATAGTGAGAGCGCTTACTTTAATCACCCTTCTTGCTATGTTTATTTATTTATTCTAATTTGTGCCTGCAAATTTTTTCCAATATCTTTCTGCTCCAAATTTCCTTATTTTCATAACATATCTTTTCATTTCCATATATTTTCTAGAGTAAATAATCAATGTTCATTTGGTTAAAACCTAAAGCTTAATGTAGAAAATACAATTTACATACAGATAGCCATTCAAGTGATAACTTGACAGCTCTGCATAAAAAAATGGAGAGCAGACTTCTGTATAGAACAAGAACTGGTTATTTTTCCCAATTCAGGTAACCAATGAGCCTCCAAAAGGTCTTCGTGCAAACATCAGGCGAGCATTCACAGAGATGACGACTACGTTTTTTGAAGACAATATCCTTGGCATAAATTGGAGGAAAATGATTTTTGGCATTTGCTTCTTCCATGCTATCGTTCAGGTATACCTGATGATATTAGTTCAGCTAGCAGAGGTACTGAGATGCCATTACAAAATTAGTTCAAGAAATCTGTTATATTCAGAATATGTCTGATGTAATCATAACTGTAATAGCAGTATTTTGTGCAAACCTTATTTAGCCATTAATTTCCAGAAACTAGAACTGGTAAGTTATATTACTAAATAGGGCTGTCAATTAATCAAAGTTAACTCACACGATTAACTCAAAAAAAAATTAATCGCGATTAAAAAAATTAATCGTGATTAATCGCACTTATAACAATAGAATACCAATCAAAATTTATTAAATATTTTGGATGTTTTTCTACATTTTCAATATGAATTTCAATTACAACACAGAATTCAAAGTGCACAGTGCTCACTTTATATTATTATTTTTTATTACAAATATATGCACTGTAGAAATGATAAAAGAAATAGTATTTTTCAGTTCACCTCATACAAGTACTGTACTGCAATCTCTTTATCGTGAAATTGTAACTTACAAATGCAGATTATTTTTCATTACATAATGGCACTCAAAAACAAAACAGTATAAAACTTTAGAGCCTGCAAGTCCACACAGTCCTACTTCTTATTTTGCCAGTCGCTAAGACAAACAAGTTTGTTTACATTGATGGGAGATATTGCTGCCTGCTTCTTATTTACAATGTCACCTGAAAGTGAGAACAGGCATTCGCACGGCATTTTGTAGCTGGTCTTGCAAGGTATTTACATACCAGATATGCTAAACATGTCCCTTCATTCTTCGGCCACCATTCCAGAGGGCATGCTTCCATGCTGATGATACTCATTAAAAAAATAATGCATCAATTAAATTTGTGACTGTCCTCCTTGGGGGAGAATTGTATGTCTCCTGCTCTGTTTTACCTGCATTCTGCCATATATTTCATGTCATAGCAGTCTCAGATGATGACCCAGCACATGTTTGTTTTAAGAACACTTTCACCGCAGATTTGACAAAATGCAAAGAAGGTACCAATGTGAGATTTCTAAAAATAGCTACAGCACTTGACCCAAGGTTTAAGAATCTGAAGAGCCATCCAAATCTGAGAGGGACGAGGTGTGGAGCATGCTTTTAGAAATCTTAAAAGAGCAACACTCTGATGCGGAAACTACAGAACCCAAACCACCAAAAAAGAAAATAAACCTTCTGCTGGTGGCATCTGACTCAGATGATGAAAATGAACATGCACCAGTCCGCACTGTTTTGGATTGTTATCGAGCATAACCCGTCATCAGCATGGATGCATGTCCTCTGGAATGGTGGTTGAAGCATGAAGGGACATATGAATCTTTAGCGCATCTGGCACGTAAATATATTGCAACGCCAGCTACAACAGTGCTATGCGAACGCCTGTTCTCACTTTCAGGTGACATTGCAAACAAGAAACAGGCAGCATTATCTCCTGCAAATTGTAACCAACCTTGTTTGTCTGAGTGATTGGCTGACCAAGAAGTAGGACTGCTTGGACTTGTAGGTTCTAAAGTTTTACACTGTTTTATTTTTGAATGCAGGGTTTTTTTTACATAATTCTACATTTGTAAGTTCAGCTTTTATGATAAAGAGTTTATACTACAGTACTTGTATGAAGTGAATTGAAAAATAATTTTTTGTTTTGTTTTTTACAGTGCAAATATTTGTAATAAAAAATAAATACAACGTGAGCACTGTACAACTTTGTATTCTGTGTTGTAATTGAAATTAATATATTTGAAAATGTAGTAAACATCCAAAAATATTTAAAATAAATGGTATTCTATTGTTGTTTAACAGCATGATTAATCGCACGATTAATTGCAATTAATTTTTTTAATCGCTTGACAGCCCTATTACTAATGCAAAGCATCTCTTATCAGCTAAGCTAATTATAATTTAAAAGGAAAGGTCCAAACATTTCATTTAAGTGAAACTGTAGTTCCTCTTTACTGTGTTAGCAAACAATTCATCAGAAGAATTCTGCATGTTTTTAATTAAATGAACTCATAGACTACAGGAGGACACATGGCGGTAAGAGGAAGGAAATGTGCTGCTTTAATTATTCTGTTTTCATCCTGGTTGTTGAACGACTACACAATACTTTATTTAAATAAGCAGATAACCAGTCCTCACTCAGTTTTCAATCAGTCACTACTTGAGCAAATTTCCATTAAAGTCAATAGACTTTTTCTTGAGAAAGGACTGAGTAAGGACTTCAGGGTTTGTCCTATAATGATAGGAATTTCTGATTGGATTAAACTAATAACTGAAACATTAGATTACTTTATCGTT